AAGTAATCGCAAGAGGCGCAGCGTTGAAACAAGAGCGCGGGGTAGGGTCACTATGACAGACCCCTTGCTGACCTCTAGAGTAACTGCCCCACAGACTGGATCCGGCATCTTGCTGCGGCATTATACGAACAACCGATAATTCTCTGGGTCCTATTTGGACAACTCCGTAACAGAGTCAAACCTTTTTGGGACTACACCTTTCAGATGTCCAACACAGATGCAAAGGACCGGCCCAAGTGACCCATTTCCCTTCGTATCACTTTCCGTTTTTTCCGCGGCTGACAATCTGCATCGGACCGGCTACCCTCTCCTGGCACATTCATCCAGCCCACAGTCTATCCCGTTTCTCTAGCTTGACTCGCCATGTGAGTCCTCCAGATGGGTGACATTGGCTTAGCCCTCGACAACTTGATCCTAGCAATCCAACCACTGAACCACCGGCACTATAGGAGAAAACAGTGCAACATAAATGTCCAGACAGTTACTCCCCCAAGTAACGTCCCAGCTCCACCAATTGTTCCCAGAGCATGCTTTTGCAGGGGTCAACAAACTAGTCCTTGCCTAAGCCGAATAAAAGCACGCCAGAGAAGCTCGAAGAGAAGTTTCGACTTCGAATTAAAGAATTTGGCATGGGTCTTAAAGTCCGCTATAGGCCGTTCACGTAGCACACCTGGGCGCGCAGAAATCGGGATTCTTAAGTCTAGTTCGGTGTTGCGCCAGACGTGAAGAAAATACCAGCGATATGCCGCTAGCATGGTCATAACTGATGAGTACGGCCTCCCTTGGACAGGATCTTTAATCTCAAAAAGAAGTTGTGGAATTAAAGGCAGAGTCGATGTTGGTTTCATGTAGCGAAGTGCCTCGAGAACATGCCAGTTGAATGTTCACTGTTGAATAGAATAAATATGAACGGCATACATTGAATGTAATGATGGTAACTGCGTAAGTTCTAGTCCAACGCAAAAACCCGGACGACTCCCCCTCGCGAACCTAGCTGCTGCTGACCCGTGCAGCTGGCCTGCAGTGTACGGACGATGCAAAGTTAAGGCCAATTCGCTGAGTAGGACGGGGGGGAAGAAGTAAGTTGATTTTCAAACAAACAAAAAATATCATGGAATGAATGGCGCAAGATCACGTAGAACGACTAGGCGGGCTGAAAATAAAGTCTGAACTAAGTCTACTTTTATAGTACGTTGTGGTTGAAGAGCGTACAAGCGTAGGGCTACCTATATGACCATGCTACGAAGGTCATGTCCCGGAGGGGATACTAATGCTCGAATCGGTGTGTCGAAATTGTAATCCGAGCTAAGTATTCTCTGTTCAGCCGAGCCTGAAGTGCACGTCAACTGGGTGCCACTGTTTTGCGTCGTTTGTGGTTTTGTAGCCTCACCTGAAGTAAGCAAACCCCAGCCACCTGTAACACGGGACCGTTGGTAATAGGGGTCTTTACAGGTGGGGCCGGGGAATGCACAGGCGACAAGGTCAAGTAGTTATTTGCAAAAGAAGAGCTATTGGGAAGACGCGGTTGTGCTCTCAATGGTTGAGAAATAGCTGCGCTAAACTCCTAATCCTAAATCCCAACCCATAACCATAACCCTAGCTCCAACAGTATTGTGTCCATCAGACTGGACTACCAAACCACATCTTGCCCTATTTTGATTAAAATTATAAGGCTATTTTAGCCTGTGAGCCAGCGGCATTTGCAAACTTTCCTCGTATGTAAAAGGACAAGTCGATTGTTAAGATTGCAGGCGGGTTTAACCGAATTCCTGGAGAACCGAGGATGATTTTGTTCGCAGGGCGAGGGGCTATGTGGGAATCAAGGAATTCGTTCCGTCATAGAATTCGACAGGAACATCGTGCGCGAGGTTGCAGACCCAGTGGCTTAGGCAGTTAACAACAGCATGCAGCGATGCATGGGGTCCCAGTACAGGGCAGGAGAGACAAACCACGCCGGGTGCTCAGACGGAAAATGACGCTCGCGGTTGACCTCCAGACTGGCGAGGGTCCCACGCGGTGAATAATGGGCTCATTAAAATAAGTAGAAAAGTGACTTGTTCACTGAAAGATCCTAACATATTGGCGAATCTAGCTTTACCGGGCTTAAGTCCAACTGTTAACTATGATATAAGCCTAGAATCTCCGGAGACGCACCAGCTTTCGTCCGTCGAGTAATAAGTCAGACCGTTACAAACAAGTAGGACTAGCTGTGTTGGACGAGTCGATGTAGTGGGCGTTGAAGGTAAGACACACTTTTGCTGCGCCTACTTCATTCTCTCTTCTCCTGCCTATGGCAGTAGCAGGGCAAGAAGAATGGAAATGGACTTAAGTGAACCGGTTGACCACAAATAACTTCCGTCTTCCCGTTCCACAACAGAGCCGGAAGTCCTCCCATAGCCGAACGTAGCCCCGCACACCATTTTGTTGGCCTGTGAGACACCAACCATCATCATTTCGTCTCATCGGCCGATCGGAGTTACTTAGGCTCGTTCACTATGTCCAGCACAAAATTGGCAGAACTTCCGAGCACAGACGGAAGGCTGGGCGACAGTCTGCTACATGGTTCAAGAAGTACCAGTGAAAACTAATTGCGTGGGATCTTAAGAAGTCAGTCTTATTAGCCAAAATACGTTCACTGAAAGCGGAAAGGCACAGTGGTTGAGATAAATCACGCATCGGACGATCGGAAAACTTTCAGAAGCATAGGCACTTTCTGAAACAGAAGCATTTATGAATATTTAGAGGGAATTTGTTCAACTTATTACATGAATCTCATCCTCATGTTATCATGTAAAGGGAAACCATAAAATACTTATGCAAATTTTCTTAAATTCCTATCAGTACTTCTGATGAGAGTGGGGCCCGAAAGGAAGAAATAACAGTGAGCGAAACTGGCAGATGCAGAGTTCAGTTAAATTCGTTCGTATTCAGAACGCACGAACATTTGATAGTATGTACTTTTTTAACTGGAGTTATATTTGTCTGGCGTGGTGAAAGTGCAAAATTAACGGTGAAAAATCAAAAATAAGGTAAGCAAAAATAACAGTTAACATGCTGGTACCGGGAACTGCTCTCGTCAGGGACTAGAAGATGTGGTTGAAAGGGTCGGGGCGCACATGCCCACGTAAACACAATTACATAATCAAATGCAGGAAATTGTTAACGTAGCAAGAAAGACAAGTGGGGAGAGAGAGAGAGAGAGAAAAAAGAGGTGATGACATTGCAGCAGGTCCTTAAGTGGCCCCCGACTCAGATGACACCGCGGCATTGTGAACACGATTCTTCAGGACACGGATGCAACCCCTGGAGTCCGCCGAGACTATCACCTCGCCGAGGTATGGCATGTGCCGTGAGTTGGGACCTATGCCTGCCTTGCCATCGCCGTGGTAGGAACGCAGCCTGAGGTCACCACCAGTCCGACGACGAGCCGAATTCCATCGACGCAGGCGCTTGTCCAATAGAAGACCTGGGTTCGGCAGAAATATGGCCACTGTGACCGCGGCATCGTGAGCTTTGATGGATTCCCAGTAATTGTTGCGGTCTTTGCGAGAGGTGGAGAAGCGAGAGACATTTAGGAAGTCCAACTGCTTGCGCCAGATATAGAAGAAGCAGTTTTCTGAGCCGGAAATTATGTACCGAGCTGTTGGGCTGTGGTAAGACATGACAAAGGAAACATGACGAGCCAGCAATGGAATGATATTCCTGCAGAAATGAACTTTTCTGTTTCGTTCAGTACTTTGTTCGAGACGAAGTCTCAACTAAATCAGGCGTGGTACCTCTGGGAAATCTCCATAGCAGCAGAAGTCCCAAATTTACACATTCTCGGCTCTCTTTGTTTTCCGGTCACGTACGTTTGAACTTGGATTATACTTAATACAAATTGCTGATATTGGTAGAAGTGAAATAAAGTGAACCGTAGCATGACGGGAACAGCCAAGAACATTGGTATCGAAGGCAAAGTCAAGTAACGTGGGTACTAACAAATAGGACGGCCATCAATTTCCACGGATTCTTAGCGGTCTCATGGTGTCTGAAGAAAGCACACACCCCAGGCAGGCAGGCAATTTGCTCTGGGATGTTACGTGCTTTTTGACAAACGAACCTCCAGGCAAATTATCAAAAGCTTGACTACGAACAATGCAACAACCCACCAGCTAACATAGGAAGCGAATTCAGGACCATACGACAGAGAGCATTGTGTGGAAATGTCACCAAATTTCGACTAAGCGTTCTTTTTCAAACAGTCTGTTGCGGAAACTCAGCGGCGCCGAAACGAGGGCTTATGAGTAGCCGTCAATTTTCGGAATACTTTCAAGACAGCATTAACTGCTACTCTGCTTGAGGAAATGTCCCAGAAACACCCAACACTGACTGACCGTGACGAAGTATAGACGTCGGCATAAAATTAGCTATGGACCCTGCTAAAGATATTATTTGACATCAAATCTCAAAATTCCACTAAAAGTGACCATTTGTCTCTGAACCGAGAAGGCGAAGGAGGCGGGCGAGGTCAAGCGTCTGACACGATCGCTCGAGAAAAGGGTCATACTTGGTGGCGTCTGTACGGCCTGCTGGATTTTAATATGGACCCAGACGATCGTGCTGTGAACGCCGAAGAAGAAGGTCAGGAAGTCGGAACCACTAGTCAGGGCAGAAAGGCCAGCTCTAAGCGGCCGAAGTGCGCACTGACATTCAGAAGGATACCTCTCTACGTCACCGGTGCGGTTGCCGAAACGTGCACAGAAAGTGGGCAGAATTAGGCTTGCATCGTCCGGACTGCACAACAAAGACCGATCCACGCGGTTATGTCATATTTTAGGCTTGTAAATACCAAAAGTGGTGACGCAGTCGAGGCGGAAGTTTAGGAAATTAAGTTTGCAAAAATCGGATTCGAAAAAGCACACTGCGTGGAAATTGTGGATTAAAGTTAATGACAGCATTTCAGATAAGAAGGCAAACAGGGGGGCGGGGAATTGGAGCAGCCGTAGACCGTCGAGAAAGGCGAACTTCGTACAGAAGTTTTCCTACCGAAAGGCAGTGAGATGCGCAATGGGTAGTGCATGCTTTTGGAAATACTACTTAGTGGGAGAATGCTGCCCGTGACATGAAAGCAGAAATATGTATTGAGAGAGCCCGAAAGCATTGAGACTGACCTGAAGGAAGCTCGAATTTGACTGCTCTCATTGACAAAGCCGCGGTATTTGCAGAGAGTATGGTAATCGCGGGCATCGATCAGGCGAACTCTTGAATCATTAGAGGTCACGAGCAACTGAAAAGGGAGAAATGGGGCGGGGGGAGGAGGAAAACCTGTTAATTGATTTTCTTCCAAAGACTATACATTTGTTCTTCAGTCTCAAGGCGAAAACTACAATCGTCCAGGAAAGCAGTAATAATTATCGCATAAGTCGATATATAAGGGCACTTTAACAACACTGACATCACCTGTCCCACACCTACAACGCTCCCATGGCAAAACAAAGTCAAGGCAACAGGGGTTTGGCGTAGACGCAATGGCTGATCTGACATGGAGCCAGTTCTCCTGGGAGATCATCCCAGAGGTCAGATACTAGCGGAATCAGACGTCCTTCGTCTAGGATACATCCACAGGTAGGAAGTGCGAGGACAAAAAGCAGGTAAAATCCTTAAATAGTCGTGGGCTTTCGGGGAACCAAAGAGACTGTCTATTGCTACGGACAACTGAGTCAGGCGGCTGGAGATCCTTTACAAGTTCTCAGTGCTGGTTTTTGACTGAATATGGTACTGGACAAGCTGAAAACACAGGAAAATGCAAAGTTTTGGAGGATGCCAACGACTCAATCAGACTGCTATCCAAGGGTCGTCTCCTACCATACAACATTAGGCGAGAGCTTCAAGTACTAACTTAAGAGGGCCTATCATCAGCCTTGGCCCTAAATGTGTCAGACTTGCCCCTTAGAATATGTCACATTATAAGGAACAGAATGAGAGTCAGTATAAAGGAAGACAGTCAGAGGTGCAACTAGCTAAGAGTTGTGAAGGTATTGCCAACATCAGGAGTTCGATGCAATTGATCCGGCATATTTTTTGGGGCCGACCCAATCGGAGTCTGTGAATGTTGCTTTAATTTTGAGCGCAAAAAGTGAACGATTAATAACCTCGCAGCAATGCCTTTAAGTGCTTGGGCGATGAGTGGACAGCTGGACGGAATGCTAAAAGAACGGTCGCCTAAGCAAAAATCCAGTCAATTTACCTACCAGGCAAATCCTTCCCCATGTCAATGTCCTTAGTTAACGGGCAACCCCATTTCTTGGCGGAATGCTCCCTGAACCCAGTGATCACACCTAATTATGAAAACAATCGAATGAACAGAAACAAGAATTTTACGAATGGTAGTACAAAATAAGTTTCCAGGACGAGCACTTTGAGTAAGCGAAAATCCACTTGGTGCTGGTTTAGTCAGGACACCAACAATGGGGCGTGTGGAAAGGCGCTGTTACTTTGGTGGATTGACATCCACGCAATAGCTGCATTAGATGATTACTTCGCACGAACGCTACCAGTCCTTACTTGTGGTTCCAAGAGGCTGTGTAGAACATGGCGGGCACGTCCCGGAAATCCCTCAGACTGCGGATAAATTGAGTGAAAGTTGGCTGGTGTGTCTCGTTACACCGCCAGCGAGGGAAACGAGATGTGTCTTATTACACACAGGCCGGGACTATTTCAAAGTAGATCAAAACTTTCTGAACAATTCCCTACTCATGCTGATCTAACTCTGCTATTGTAACACAATGGGTATGGTAGGAAAGTGTGAGAGGGGGAGGGAGAGCGATAAATGTTGCGCCAGTCTCTTGTAATAGAAAAAAGTGTGCACAAGTCACCGGTACCTCCCCCCCTCCCCACCCTTTCCCCCAAGGTGAGGGCGGTCGTGGAACGGCTGATTTCGAGGATTATTTCGGCTATCAAACCGTCCTACCAGGGGAATGAAAATGCGATTTCACCCGAGAGCAAAAGGCGAAAAATACCTTGTTTGAGTCCGTAGGGTCCACTTCAATAGCAGTGATGCGACACTGGCGACCACGGCTGGATGTGGATTTCACGTTTATGAAGGTAATGTAGGTTAGCTGCAAGCGGGATAATAAGTGCAACAGATAATCAGCGTGGGTAGATCGAAGTTTGTGCATTTCACTCAGTAACCTAACATATTACGAGAAAAGTCTTCGTCTCATGTAGAATATGTTGCTAGGTTATTTTATTAACAAATTATTTGTAATTTCAGACGAAAATCAACGCTGCCCTGCATTCAGACTGCCACAGACCATATCTATGTAGTAGTATGTGCTTCCCAAGAACGAGCCACGGGGTAGATGCGCTGGAGCAGCAAGGAGCCTGGGTCGGAGTTCGGCAGACGGTATCAGGAGTGCGCATCCACAAAAAATGCCAATTTTTTTTGGGGGGGGGGTGTGGTAGCACGCCAAGTCGCGGACTCACGCGACGCCAGCTGGGATTCGAGCCGTCACCATTTTTGGTGTACATAATTCTGGCAAGCGTTTTTTTTTTGGACCAAGGGGTGTGGTGGTACGTCCAGGTACGATTTTTGCCATGCCAGCCACTTCCGCTTTCTCCAGCTCTCGGTTTTCCCGAATCCGTGTTGACACCGGGTCCAGGTGGGGGAGAACAAATGGGTGTGGTGGATGCTGTGTAAGTCCAGTTCCACCACAAAATAACTCACGCGCAAGTCACTGTTCCTGCTCTCACCTTATTGTGGAGCATACAGCGAACATGTTCGGCAACAACGGTCGAACTGTTGTGTCGTGTCGCTTCCCTAGTCAAGGACATTAACTTTATCATGACAGCTTAACCACAAGGACAGTAGGAAACTTGAAACATGATTTTTCAGTCTGCTTAAACCATGTCAAGTATGATTTGAATACACACATATATTTCAGAAAAACATAAGTCTTTCAAGATTTAAACCCTTATTTGCAAGCCTATACATTTTATGCTGTAAGATGCAGCAATAATGCCTACGGCAATCTTTTCTTAACACCCGTGATTTCCAGGCACCTGAAAACATTCCATGAGCAACGGTGAAAAGGCGCACCGTCAAGTAGTTGCGGCACAAGGCAAAAAAGGATGAACACGTTCCGTCCTGAAACCAGATCGACAAAAGGTCACCTTCAAACCAAGATGATGTCAGTTTGGTCGTCGTGAACGACGAGGTCCACCGTATCCCACAACACGGAGGGCACAGGGACGGTGAATTGAGCGTGACAGCAGATTTTCGTTGCATTTGTCGCACCCCATCCTATTTTGCCCGCCTGGTTCCGGTGGGAGGACAAAGTCAGGACAACCGGAGGCGGGATGGGACGCAGTGGTTGACAGAGGTCAAAACAGTCCGTCCACACAAGCCACGCACATGCCTGGTCCGCGAACGATAGATTGGGTCCTCAGAGAAACGAGAAGCAGTCGGTTCGAATCCTATCTGAGTGGGAGTTCTATGAGACCAAAGTAAGGGGGAGGGGGTCCATTGCAACCTGACTCTCTGTCCAGAGAAGGCCGTGTTAGCCTCGTCAGCCGGTAGACTTCTAAGTCACGACCTTTGGCTCACCCTGATGATTCAAAAGCCCATCAGATTGTTCATAGTGAGGATTTGGACTGAAGTGCCGTTCGGATACAGTCCCCAGACTCGACCTTACTTTCTTCCCGCACCCTGGCAGCAGTCTACTCTCCAAGCCGGTCAGCCATCTGATGCCGGGATCGGGCGCAAGTGGCTTGTGCGGTGTGAGCCTGCTCCCATGCGTGCCAGCACACCCTCGATGTGGCAGTTGTTGTGGGAAAATATAAATAATGTGGGCATTCACTGGCGAAATACCCACCTAAGCCCAACCCTAGCTTCAACTATGACTTGGGCTGATAACTCATGTTTCGCTGTCATCAACTCGATTCAAAATCTCGACTGCACTGGCATTGAACTGCGTTTAGTTCGGGTGGCGTGTTTGGCTACTAGAAACGTCGAGTCCAACCTTCATACGGCATATCAGGCGTTAAGTCACTGTGAAAAATGGCGAGATGCACGGACGCTACGCAGCGTGGTCGATGCGTGCCGTGACCCAATTTGGTCTGTGTTGGTCCCGCGCATCTCCCGCGTGGTCCGTCGTAGGGGCCGGACATCAGGGTGATAATTGCTGGGTTACGGACGGTTCCAGGAAGTACGGAGACGACTAAAATCTCTGGTTCAATATGGAGAACCACCATGAGAATTGGGGCCGTCAATTCGGTTCCCCCTTACAGATAACATTCACCCAGCTGAATTTCAAATTCCCAAGCCCATTTATAAAAATCAAGGACTCGATCAGATAACAGTCGCAATCCTCAAGCTGCTGCGCATTAAATGTCCTTCTTGCAATGCTCATCAAAGAAAGTTGCTCAGACTATTAATAGGCTAACACTGAGAGTCCTGAGGGAGAGGATATCGAGCGATTTCCACACCTGGTGGGCGTAGATGCGGCACCTCAAATGCTGAGAGCTTGGTGTGAATTCGCCTGCGAGAGGGGAGGTAACATGTTTACGGGCTGCAGAACTTCCCCACACCCTATACTTTACCTAAAGAAGTTCTGGTTATAAGGACAGCCCATTTAATCCCAGAGCACGGACACTAATGAGTATAGCAGAAACTAGTGTCTGGCTGGAAGCCATCGCACATTCCAACTACCGCGGCAGGTTGTTCAACAAATGCCCCAGCTCAGGAGGAGACAACCTTGCACACAGAAAAGTCGGCGTCAGTCTTTTGACACAATGACAGCAGCAGTAGTAAGAGGGGGGAGGACCAGCGGAACGACAGAAGTCTGCAGAGAGAGGGGGAGTGAAGAGAATTCACCTCTGTGTTGAAAAACATGACTCGGCCATCGTAGCTGCCGATAACCACTTTGGTGCCGTCGCAGGCAAAGCACGCGCAGGTAATGATGGTCTTTGGCTCGAAGATGCCCGATGCCGAAGGAGCGGAGAGTTTTGCGGAAGCGGGCAGGGATGAGGGTAGGGGCGCGTCTACCCAGAAGCGCACCTTCTTGTCCGGAATGTTCCAGAGTCGCAGTTTCCCGTCCAGACTGCCCGACAGGAAGTATCGGTCATCCTATGGAGAAGAGGGGTCGACAAGGCCGGCGATAAGGAGACACTTGGCAATGTAACCAACATGCTTACTGAATGTATATGCGGACTGGAGACAGATTGTAAGCGGGAGTCCCTCAGATGATTAAGGAGGACCATAGAATTTTTGTAAAAATCTCAATTAGAGCTGAGTCCGAAAGACAATGGTACAGCAAGAGCAACCTTCAGGAGGGACCATGCACTGTGCTATTTCTGCCGAAGACGCCAAATATGATAATAACTTTGGCAAAACCCTCCCCTCCCGAATGTGGAAGAATTCTGTTATAAGGTAGTCCAGTAGGTCCACAACCGATAACGAGTGAAAATACAGATCGGAAGGGAGACAGTTCATTTTGCCGGTTCCTTTGCTCTGGTCAGTGAGGTTACTCGCAGACGAAGGGCATACCGATCTGCCTAAGGGACGTAAGTTGGCTTGTATTGACAACGGGCATTGGTGTGGATGATTTGCAAATTTAGGAAAATAACCCAAAACCGAACTAAATAGTCCAGATACTCTTGTGAAGGTGGTGGCTTCCGACCAAGTCAAATATGGAAGAGTAAATGAACGAGAGAGGGGGAGAGAGAAGTAGTCAAAGGTCCGACAAGATGACAAGGATAAGGGGTGAAGTGGAACGAGGAACTCGCGTGTATGTCAGTTGTAGTGATTTTATTCCTCCATGATGAACAGGGTCAGGAAAAAGCTACCGACATCCGTATGTCACTTGTAATCGCAAATGCTCAATGACTCACTGGGTACGAATACAAACCTCAGGCCGTTCGTCGCCCACGGCTCGAGTATCACCGGCCAAGAAAACTGAGAACATATTTTCACTGTGCTTAATCTTTGCCAGTGACATTTCAGTGGAAAAGAAGAAGACTAGTGACGATGGCAGGGGAGACTGGGATTGTCATCTCTGGCTCAATAGTCGTCGTTATCCAATCTTACCCAACCTCAGGTTTGCAGGGCTTGAGGTTAGAAATCGCGTTCGTTGGCAATCCAGTGTTAGCAAGTCCACTGACCCACCGTCCTGGTCGACTACTCGTTAGTACGAAACAGCCAGGATGGGCTCTAGACGCGGAGCTACAAGGTAGAGCGCGAACCTCAATTTCTGTCCCGATATCAGGATAGATCGATGATCGGCCTCCAACACAGGAGTAGAGGCAGTTGAATGCGTACGGTTTGGCGATGATAAGAGAAATTACAAAAGACGCAGGCAAAGCGAGTGGATAGGAGGAGGTACCAAAGAGAGTGCCAGGCTACGGCCCTCTTTGTCAGCTCTCCAACTAACCTTTGGGTGAAAGACGATGGCGGGCACGGTGTCGCTGTGACTGAAGACACATAGGCACTCGCAGCGACTAACGTGCCAGAGCCGGACCTGTCTGTCCATGCCAGTGCTGAGAAGGAAGAGATTCTTTGACCAGGCGAGCTCGGTTACAACACCATCGTGACCTCGATAAACGAGGAGGGGCTGAGAGCGGTAGAAGGCCCGTTGTTGTGGCAATTTTATGGGCACTGGGTCAGTCACCTCTCCTAATTCAGGGACTTCGCCTCGGCTGTAGGTGGTACCGTTGTCCAGCGGGCCCGAACTGCAAGAGCTGGCACCATCCTACGCACAGATAAAAAAAACTCCGTCTTAGGTAGGGTCGCTTTAAAAATGAATAAAGGAACAAAGGTAAGCCAAGTAGGAGAAACGGCCGCTTGATTAACTTCGGAGTCCAGTATGGCGGGGAAGCAGATAATGAATCTATTCAAAGGCGGGGAAACACGGGATACAGTTACATAGTGGTATTGCGAGAGACTAACTTTCACATATTGACCATCCTATTCCACCCGAAGGCACATATATTTGGCTCACATTACAAAACGTTTTGAAAGAAGTCTGGACAGAAAAAGTTAGCGGAGCGCCTGCAGATATTCAGTGATGTGCGTTTGCCATTAGTCAGTTGCTAGACCATGATAAGGAACAGGCTTGGATACGTAAATGCCTAACCCACTTGGCATCCACAAACAGGAGACAATGCGGTTTGGACTTCGAACCGCTTCATGTGAAATCACAAGACCTTTCCGTGGGAGGCGAAGTTCACGAAAAAGTTAACAGTAGGTTGCAGGAGCGGGGTAAGCCCACAAATTTGTGAGATTGCAACGAAGACGGTGTTCCTAAGACCCCCTGCTTATTGCTGCTGAAATATTCTTCGCCAGAGGTGTTGTCTATAAAGTCGAATAAGACTGTAATGGCCATTTGTAGCCTACTTGGCTTGATCAAATAACCTTGTGGCTAAAACCGATTCAGTTTGTCATCGAACATCTCAAGGTCATGCATTCTACCACCTGAGCCACAGGCCCAAGTCCTGTAAACTGCAATCGGGAAGTTTCAACGTCAAGTAAGAGTGGCGTGTGCCTGCCTGTCCTGATTGCTGGACGAAAATGGGTGTTTGCATTTGACCTAGGTGAGTTCAGTTCAATCCTTAGGGCAGTCCAGTAGCGAAGAGCAAATAACAATCGCCAGTTGTCACAGAAAGAGACACGGGGATCAGAGTGGCTATTTCTGAACAATTTGACGTCATCAGTCAGCCATGGTTCGACTCTGGGCTAGCAGTTCAGATTTCCAGCTGTCCAGCATTAAGTGAAGGATTACTTGAGATGCACTTTTCTTCAGCTACTGCTCCTACCAATCAGCACTCAAGGATAACTGGTTGAGTAGAGTCCAGCAATGATGATGGTGGTGGTGGTTAACGGCTAGCGGTAGACCTTCGAGCCTAGATAGATGGCATGAGGTTATTAAGAACGCACTGCAGACGACTGAAGAGTACTTTTCTCGTAGGTCTTTTGATGAAGCTAACGGAGAATGAAAAGAAACGGGGCCAGGCAACAATATGGAGATGATGTAAAGGAAAACCGACCCTCATGGAAACAGTACATAGAGTGAATCCAGTGGGAACCGGCGTCAATACTGCATCGCTGCACTTATGCTCTGATGGTAACCCAAATGTGGCTTGGCGAACGACGGTCCTGCCCCGGGTGCTCAACGGGCGACTGCAATTAGCGGCATTCTACTATTGACAGAACTTACCTAAGTGACCGTGAAGACAGTCGTTAACGAAAGTCCAGACAAATTAGGAAGCAACCTACTAGACAGCCATTTGGGGTTTCATAATACCTCAAGGACATTTGATATCGCAAAGAACGGAAGACATGGCGACATTTGCATAGGGTGTGGCAAGCATTTATTAAAAGAACGGAATTGTTAGCGTTGATAAATATTTTTCACCCTAAGAGCCCAATAGCTGACCACCGACCTTACGATGACTGCTGGCTTGCGTACTGATATACGATAAGTACATAACATAAGAAGCCTGGTTATGATAAATAGGAGAACAGATTAGCAGATCCCCCAACCCTCCAACTTGAGCGGCTCAAGCCGACAGTCAAAGGTATGTGTCAAACAAAACAGAAAGACAGGGCTGACATTTTCGGCGTTGAGGGCACCGCTTGTAGGGTAAAGCGAAAGAGTAGACTTACATCAGTTCGGCTAGTGGAGACGGAGGTTGAGGTAAGGCTGATGGAGTCAGCCTCCAGATCGTCAAGGTGGTGCGACATGGCTAGGTTGCCCAAACAACCTCGAGCAGTTGACACCGAATGGGTCGGCGGAACGGATGCGTCGCCATCGTGACCGGCTGAATGCGTTGGAACATGTGAGAGAAGGTACAAAACACTCGTGAAAGGCCGTGAATTCGGGCGGTAAGGTGCAAAAAGAATCAATAGTTAGACTTATTGAGTTAATTATCCAGAGGGGGCGACACTTCGCTTCAGGCAAACATCTGAAAGAGACCAGGGACTGTGCTTATGTCCACTTATCAGGGCAGATGAATGTCGTTGTCCAGCATGAAAATGGTGTTGAAAGGGCAAAAAACGATACGCAAGGAATTCAACTGTCGAGGGGATGAGAGGTCGTTATTTGTGTTTTTAATGAGCGACGACAACTACTGGTAAAGGAAAATACTTGAAACCTAATTAACACTCAGGATGGCAAAGTCATAAAAACTGCCCCAAGCTCCCTTGCAGAAGCAGAGGCAGTTGAATGCGGCACAGTAGCAGGCAAAATCTGGCGGCCGACCCCACTGACATGAACCCAACATGTCAGGTACAGTAGGTGGGCTAACTCGTGAAATGTCAACCGAAATTTAAAAATGTGTTTTCGTTCCAAAAAAGATTAAGTAAGTAGGGTTGCAAAACTAGTCAGCCTGCAACATAATTCTATCATGATTTAGTTACCTCAGGATGCCGGCTTTAAAAAGAACTACTTTTCGGCCACATGCAAAAACTATACTCTGTACCAAATGACTACTTACGTAGCATGCATTTTCCCATTCATTTTAGATGTCCTTAAAAATTTAATTATATCTTATAGAAAACATGCATAAATACATTCCTCCTTGTACTTATTCGGTAGAAAATAACGTCTTCTTCCACCATTTGAACCTAGACGACACTCAAACAACATTAGTTTCATTGAAAGTCGGGCTTGCAATGTAGAGCGAAGATGATTTTGTGTATGAAATGTATATTCTCCATCAGCAGAAAACAGCTGTCTAGATAATAACGCCCTCACGTTTCTTACGCATGACTAGAGATGCTGAGCATAGTTTGAAAAAAAATCAAACAGAAAGTGTGCTCAAGACGATCTATCGGTGGACTAAAATAATTTTCACGATATCAGTTAACGAATGCAAGACGTTGACTGGCAAGTATTTTCAAAAAGGTTACTAATGTTCTTCTGCGACTTAGCATGCTTCTGAAACCAGCCGCTTACCTTCAGTTAATTGCAACTAACCTGGACCAACCACAGTTTGCCTCGTATACTGTGTTATTATTCACCGCTGCGTACAGTAGGTGGGCTAACTCATGAAATGCCAATCCAAATTCAGAAATGCGTTTTCGTTTCGAAAAGATTAATTAAGTAGGGCCGTAAAACTAGTCATCATTCAGCATAATTCTATAATAATTCAGTTACCTCAGGATGTCGGCTTTCGAATAAACTTCTTGTCGGCTGCATCCAACGACCATACTCCGTAAAGAATGATTACTTAAGTAGCATGCATTTTTTCACGAGTTTTCGATGCCCTTAAAGATTCAATTATATTTCATAGAAAACATGCATGAAAATATTCATTCTTTTGCTCATTCGGCAGAAAGTTACG